CGATTCGAATCGCCATCGCTCCTAAATAGTGAGCACTTGACTTGAGTTACTTCATCGTAGTAATGTTGATGGAACACTTGGACAGTTATAATGAATATGACAGTATGGAAGTTGTTTAATGATCATTGGTTATCATTATTTGCTTAATCACATGTTTGCTCTAGTATAGGTGCAAATCTAGTCGACAGGTTAATAACAATTAACTTGACAATAATGCTTTTGAAAAGGGTCTTGAAATGCTAAAAATGCTTTCTTTGCAAATGAGTCAGCTACCCTACTATAAAGCCTTCATAATCCTTAGTGTCACTTATTTTCGGTTATGTCGGGTAAGTCTAGCTGAGTACCTTCTCGTACTCAGGGTTTTATTCCCACTTGTTGCAGATGGGCAGATGTTTTATGGCTACTGTATCAACTGCCTTTATCCTGCGATGGGTGATGCTTAGGACCATGGGCATGGTCATTCCTTACGTCTCGTCTAATGCTTTTGTTGGAGATGATCATTCGCTGGCACTATATTTGAACTCCGTGTGAGTGTGTGTGGTTTGAACAAATGGCTTCCGCTACTTTTATTCGAACTTGTTTTGTAATAACTATGTTTAAACTCTGATGTATCTGAGATGCAAACTTTTATGTAATATGTGATGGTGACCGCTAAACTTATTACGATCTTGGCTAGAATGGAAGTTGGTTTGAAATCCTTCCTGATTTCACGGACTACCGGGTTATACGGGCTTAAGTTTGCTAAATCGTCTGCTCTGGCGTATGATTTTCTTACTTAATTTCGTATAATTGGTCGGTTCTGTTACAGATTCCTTTACGCTGCGATCGTAGTTGTTATTTATAACTCTCACCAAATGCTTTTATAAATGAAAGTTTCATAATCTGTTGTCGTAGTTTACATATCAATACTTTATCATATCATGATTAGATACTTATTTCCGCTGTAATTCTGATCACATGTTTATATTCCGCTGCTAAATTAAATTGTTCATAACTCTGATAATATGAGTACATTCCGCTGTTATAATAATAAATATTATACTCTGATGTTGTATTAAAGGTGATGTAAGAAATGGTTATGAATGATGTAAGCTTTATTCTCTCATTTGTGATCCTGATGGCAATAATGTGGATTTTCGGGTTCTCCCCTGGGGTGTGCCTGATGGAACCAAGTAATTTAGTGTTCTCCCTCGAGCTCTTAGTGTCTAATGAAAGACAAGCACTCATGGGAGGCATTAGATTAGATAGTTCTGCCACGGTGGAGCCCGTCCCCAGAGGTCGAGCGAGGCGGATTGCACGACCTTGGGGTTGGGCGAGGTGGAGCCCGCCCTTAGAGGTCGGGCAAGGTAGAGCCCACGGCCTCTCGGGCGAGGCGGAGCCTACCCCCAGAGGTCGGGCGAGGCGGATCTCACGACCTTGGGGTCGGCCAAGGCAGAGCCCGCGGCCTCGGTGTCGGGCGAGGCGGAGCCCGTCCCCAGAGGTCGGGCGAGGCGGAGCCCGCCCCCGAGCGAGGCAGATCGCATGACCTTAGGGTCGAGCGAGGCAGAGCCTGCGGCTTTGATGTCGGTTGGAGCTGTAGTCGCATCTTTGACTGTCTGGATGGATTAACGTATAACGACTATTAGCCCCTCTTCTTCGGATATCTTAGTATTGGTCCTCGACAAGGGGTTGCCATTGCCAGTTAGCCAGTGCCCCCAGTGCCAGTTCTGTGCCGCGACCTCGCACGCTGACCACTTGTCCGCCAAGTGCCAAAGCAGCAGGGGCAGCGGCCAAGAATGCACGGGGACAGACGAGATCACAAGCGGATTCTGGCTGCAGACGGCATGCTAGCACCGCACTGGGAAAGATTCTCGGCCTCTCGTGTGACGCCTGCCCGGCGCAGTTTTTGACGCTGCGGTATGTGAACCAACTAGTACCAATTGCGTGGAGTACTGCAGTGCATGTCTTGGCCTCTTTGAAGGTAGGTAGGTATAGGTACAGTAGTCAGCGAAGAAACGGTCTTCCTGTGTGGGTCGAGATGATGCAGATGTGGGCGTGTCCGTCCATTGGTGTCCAATCCAACGAACTGGGTCCTTGCTTGTGTAGCCCTAGCCCAGGGTGGCCAGGTATAATCCTCTCCTTTGCCATGTCTACAAGTACAATTTGCCTTGTTTCAAAAAAAAAACAAGTACAATTTGCCTCCATAAACTACAACTGTCCTATCGTGGTTTCCTTAGTTCGGGTATACGCATATCAATGGGCTGTTTGGCTCCCGGCCACAGCCAACCACGTCTCTGTTGCACCGCTGCCGAAGTGAGACATTAGAAATCGGCGCCTAAAATGACTTACAAATGATGTGGCTGCCACATCTATGCTTACAATAAAGCTAATAATTTTTGTTGAATTCTTCGCTGTGACGTAGCTGGTTGTGGCATACAACCAAACACGCCCATAATTTTTGTTGATGATTCGTGGCCTGTGATATGTGATTATGCTCGGACGCACAACGTACGGGCGCTCTCTCTCTCTATCTATCTCTATCTCCCTCTCTCTCTCTCCCTCTCTCATTTCTTCCACCCACATGGACTAAGCTATAAGCTATTCTCAAAACTTGCCATGCTGAGGGTAAGACAACCTCCCGATATTTCATTGAGAAGAAGATCTTCACATACGGGGAGAGAAAACCTCTGAACCCCTACCCCACCTATATACCCAGCCCGAAATTCGCTCTCACATAGAGTCGAATTCAAGACCTGAGACCACAGACCACCTAACCAACTCGGCTAGAGACCCTTTCGCAAGACACACATACTGACATACACGCTCAAGCATAACTCCTATCGCTAAAAGAATAGAACCATTAAATTTAGAAAAATACGATCACCACATTAAGTTGAGGGATTAAACCAAAATGGACAGAGTCCACTACAAGAAAAAGCTTAGCTAGCTGAAAAATTGTTCATTAAACACAATAACATAAAAAAAGAGTATAGGATAATAAAAATACTCTTGTGCTAGTAAATATATTTTTGTACTAATACGAAAGAAGAAATATACCACAAAACAATAATTTTTGCTGCTCCAACAATCCAAAATATACCAAGGAACAATATATATCTATAAAATAGAACAAACAAATATATTATAAACTAATAAATTTCATAGTTGAAGAATCCAACACATAGGCCATAGAAACTGAAAATAAAATTCTTAAACTAGAACAATACAAAATATACTATAGAACAACTCGTAGAATACCGCTAAACAATATATTTTCATAGTTAAAACAAGGCAAATGTACCAGTACCACCAGACAATGGATTATCACTTGTACCGAGAAAAATAAATAATTTTGTAGCTCATAGTTAATTTTTGGATCAAGCAGCCAAGCAATAACTATATTTGAGCCAGCCACACATCTCAGTTTTCAAGAGCTAAGAACGAAACAAAAAAAGAGAGAAAAAAACAAATAAGTGACCGATTTTTTGCTTCCTTCGGTTAGCCTAGTTAGGCCCACCAAATAATTTTTTTTGTGGACAAAGAAAATTGTTCCAAGGAAGAATGAAAATCGTTATGACAATAATGAACAGTGTTACAAGAAAAAGGTTCTTAGCGAGAAAAAACTTCCAAAAAGTATTCCAAAAGAATGATCCGGTAAAAAAAGAATTCGTTTTAAGAAAAATGTCTTGAGAAAAAAATGTTCTAGGCTAGGAAAAAAGATGTTCCAACCAAATCATAATTTTTTTGATCAATTGGGGGGGGGGGGGAGGGTCCGCCTACTTATATTGAATCGAAGGAGCTAAAAGCTCGAATAGATACAACATACTTCCGGCATACCAGAAGGTGTACACAGTGTAGGAGAGGTGTGGAGAGGCAGAACAGCAATTGAAGAGTCGTTACAACAACTTAGCACAAGCCACAGGCAAGCCATGGCACCATCCATAAGACAACCACCAAAACACTGAAGTAAAAACCAAATCATAAATTGCTAAAGGAACAAAGTACAAAACAATCAAAAAAAAAAAATGCTCCAATACTTGTTAATTTATTAGTATGAGCGTCGGATCATTTTATGACTCCTTAATTTGCTAGTGGGCTGGGTATAATTATGGACATGGTTCTAGTGCTTCTTGTCTTGGTCCATGAATTGATTCTCATGGTGCTTGTGATAATTCTTCTCAAAAAATTTGTAGATCGTTGCCTCTTCGCTAATCCTCCGTTCATTCAAAATTATAAGACGTTTTGGCTTTTTCTAGGTGCATAGCTCTATATACCTAGATATACTATGTCTAGATATATAGCAAAAACAATGAATCTAGAAAAGCCAAGACGTCTTATAATTTGGAATAGAGAAAGTAGTATCACTCGTTTTTCATCTCAAGTTGTTTCTTCTAGGCATGCTTCCACGTGTTTCAGAATTATTGCATTTGAGCTAGCATTTCTGTCGTGCTAGCCCTTATGTGTCGGTAGAGGACACCAGCCGGATCAACATTTTCTTCATGGGGCCCTTGATCAACTATGAATAATGATTTGACACTTGGCGAAGGGCAAGAGTGAGCTCATCAATTACAAGTAGGAATGAGGAACTTTTTTTGCAAAAATAGTTTTGAGAACTTAGGCAAGCAGATCATTTATATTTGAAAAAAGCGAAGCAAGTGCAATTCATATAGCAGAACAAGAAGTACAATCATTGTTTTTTTTAATCCTCTAGTTTTGCATATGCATTTTATCCTAGTTTTTTTTTTCTTTTGCAATAATATGTTCCAAAGGCGGGCCTAATAATGGGCCTCTAACACTCAGCTTATCTGGGCGCTCAAACTTTGGCCCAAATATAGGCCCATGCAATACATTCACACCCCCGCCGGCCCACCTGCATCGCGCTGCCTTTTCTTTCTTTCTTGCGGACCAATACGAGACACGGAAGCGAAGGGCGGTCGGAGTCGGGAAGGCGTCGGCGGCAGCTCTGCTCGGTCGCGGCGCTTGTGGGACGGAGGAGAGGCCACCGGAGAGGAGAGGGGGAGATGGCGCCGGCGAGCGGGTGGGGCCGTGCGGTGGGGAACACGCGGTCGTTCGTGGGCAACGCGCTGGGCGGCCTCCGTGGGTGGAGCAACCTCGCCTCCTGGACCGTCGCCGGAACCCTCGCCTACTACCTCTGGGTCAAGCCCGCGCGCCAGCTCCAGAAGGAGCAGGAGGTGACAGCTACCTTCCCCGCTCTTACCGCAGCACCATTTGGGGTTTTTAATTTAGTCGGTATCGGTTGCCCTCAGATCACGAGCGAGGGTGGCTGCTGTCGTCTCGTCTGGGATCGATCTATCCGTGCGTGCGAAGTTAGGCCCTTGGAATTGCTCAGTCAGCATATTGTTAGCTGGCGCGTTAGCTCTAGGGCGCTTAGAGGTTTTGGTGCACTGTTAATTATGCATTGGATTGCTGCAAAATTGTTGCCCCTGGGTTGGTTGGTTTTTGTGCGAATTGTTCGCCTATCTCTCTGCCATATCTAGATACGAGGAAGCACATATTCTTAAGCTCTATACCGATGATATTGTTCTTGAACACCTTCTGCTGTAGGGAGCTATCTACTGATGCTCAGTCGGGCTGTATTTGTGCCTGCTGCGGATGTTATCAGGAGAATTAGAGAAATACCTTATTTGGCGCAAGTAGCGGTGTTGCTCAAGTGCACACAACATAGCTTAAACTTAGCAATTTCACGCAGCTCTTACAAAGACAGCAAAACTGCAATATACCATGACAATATGAATTCTCCAAACTCCAAACCTTTGTTCTCAAATGTGCTTGAATAGTTTTGCACTTCAGCATGGCGCCCAGTTGACCTAGCTTTAGCTATGATAAAGCTTGTGATAAACGAAATGGGCCCTTATTCGCACAGTTTCTCTCATTGCACTTGATAATTTGTCAGTTATTACTTATTAGTGTTCTTTTTCTGTATCTTGTTAGTGTTGAGATCATGTATTCATAAGCTGTATATCATACATTTTATTCAATTGTGCTGTTGGTTACGCATCCTCAGAAAATATATGACTGCGCATATGGCAAAATCACTTCAGAGAACTGCACTGTTATCGCCTTGTCTGTCCATTCACTAAAGAAATTATATTCCTTTTTCCCCAGGAGCGAGCCGCTTTGGCTGCTGCCTCAGATCCGTATCGTTATGTTGAGAAGCGGAAACCAATTCCTGATCCACAGGTAGCTACATCCACTCTGTGTTAGATGCCAGATAACAGATTGTTTGACAAATAGGCTGTACTATGGGTTATTTCTGTGTGCTAATTATGCGTGTGATGATTAGGACACTGGCCTTACTTATGGGAAGAAAAGGGAGCCTACGAAATCTGAAGATTAGTTCCCTGGGCACATCTTGTACCAAAGCGTGCTACCCAGTTATGTGCAACAATACAAGGAATGGTTTCTGCATATCTGCTGGCTACATGGTTATCGTTTCATGAAACTCTTGCTGCTTTATGCGAGCAAATAGCAGCTGTAAATGGAGTGTTTGCAGTCTGGGTACTTTACTTGAGCCCAGGAAAGAAGTGTTCACTATCACCTATGAGAGATGTAGATGCTTTCAGAATAGAAAAAGAGAGAGAATAATTTATGTACCTTTTTGCTAGCAAGTTAAGCATGTTGGCAGGCCCTGTTTGGCCGGGCTCCGGCTCCCACGCGCCGAATCATGCACTGTTAGCAAGTGTTCATGCACTGTTCACCGAATTCGTTTTTCTCTCTCCTCGTTTCCTCTCGACACCACCAGAGCTGGAGAAGCTCGTTTTTTTTTCTGACTCCCGTGGCTCTGGCTACAGTGTCACTGCAGCGTAGGAGCCAGAGCACGTGGGAGCCCGGCCAAACGGGCTCTTTATGTATCACTCTATCAACGCACACCATGGCCAGGGACTATTCGGTTTTTTTTTCTTCCGCATACGGTTACTGCTAAGTAATTGTAGGTTTGTTCCAGAGGAACTCGTTGGTTCCACTCTGCCTATTCTATGAACTTTGGAGCTGAATTGCGATTATATTGAGCCAATGATGGCTTATACTCTTATAGCATGAAGACATTTCGTTTCCTGCTAGATTTCTATCAATCGCATGGCTGTGGTGTTTGTTTACTAGCTGTGGTTGCTGCAAGGCCTCTGCTTTTTCCAGACCTCAAACTGAGCTCCGACGGGAAACGGAGTGGAAGAAAAGTTACGAACGGCAAACGGAGTGGAAGAAAAGTTACGAACAAACGGAGCTCCAACGGGAAACGGAGTGGAAGAAAAGTTACGAAACCGAGGTACCCGAGGAGATTCTAGAAATGTATTTATAGGAAAGCCTCTCATGGGATAAACAGGACAAATAGATGACACTAGAATCACACAAAATAGGCAGCTGCAGCGTCTCGATTAGAAGCTGCAAATGTTAGTACTTAATTATCTGACAAACTGAAGCTGATCAATAATCCTTATTTACAGACATTTTTTTCACGAAACTGGAGGGGCCGAGGCCCCTACGGAGGAAACCGTCTATATTACTCCCCGTAAATTTGGTGTCCAAATAACTCTCCCAACTAACATTTGGTTCAATTTACTTTATCCAACTATTTATGTTGGTCCAACTAACACCTTAAAGGGATTTTTCTTTTTTTGCTTCTCTATGTACAAATTATATTTTAGTTTCAAATTTTGTGAGATGATAGAGGACATTGTATTTTATATTAGAAAAATGCACTATGAATTTTTCATCATTATGTTTTATATGATATTGTACCTCCAGTATTAGAAAAATCCAGTATTAAGACTCAACTAATACATTGAAAAAAATAAAAATAACAAACCATATTAAGAGGTAAACTAGACCAATTGAAATAGTTGGAGAGAGTAAATTGAACCGAATGTAAGTTTAGGAGGTAATCTAGACATGTCAAACTTGAGGGGAGTAATTTGAACTTTTTCCTTTAGGGAGCTGTTTGGATCCTTTATTTTGGAGGAATTAAATTCTACTTAATGGATTAGGCTATTTGGTTTGGAATTTGACATTCTATAACTTTTTCAAGCTCACAAGATAAGCCTATCTCAAATTCATAGAGTGAAAGATGGAAATGGATTATATAGATCATTGGCCCTGTTCGCTTGTCTTAAAAATGGCTTGTTCGGCTTCTTTTTTCAGGCGGAACAGTGTTTTTCTCTCACAACAATTCAGCCGGAACAGTGTTTTTCAGCTAGTTTCAGCCAAGTTTTAGACCAGCGAACGGGGCCATTATGTTATAATTCCACTCTCCAACTTATAGCGCACTTTCCAACTCACTTCCCTATAATAGAAATGTAACATATAAGTATGTCTCTTAAATGCCTAACAATAAATATACAAATATATTCTATATATAACTATATTAGCTTAATTAATCTATATCTAAATTATAATTTAGAATAAATTCAATTCTAAGAATCAAACAGGCCATTAAGGAAAAAGTCAAGGAAATAGAAGGTACAGAAGGTTGCAATCCTCTCGGGCACAGCGGGCACGGGAAAGAGTTTCTTTAGCAGATCTCCGTGGCGAGGTGTGGGGAAAACATTGGACTTGGCTTAGATCTCTGCTGCCACCGTATTGGCTGATCTCTAATTCACAGATCAGGTTATCCACATCCTTCTCGGAGGACAGGGCTTGAGCGAAAGCCGTTGGCCCTAACCTACCCACCTTCGCCCACGCTAGTAGAATAAAAAAACAGACTCCGTGCACGACATCTTGGTAGGAGGGATGGGCTACAGGCTACAGGCTACAGGTGCGCAGCTGTCCAACACTGGGCAGCGAAACTGATGCCCTTGGAGCCAGCCTCTACGACTTCAGCCTCCTCCCTACCTGTTGGGTGTCAAAAATAATGGTAGACTACGCCATCGAATTAGTGCCGTGATAGTGTGACTAACCCGCTGACCGATTCCTCTAATAAATTATGGGCCTGGGGCTATATCTATCGGGTGCGCCTTCGCGCACCTAGGACCGGCCCTAAGATTTTAGGGGCCCAGGACGAAACCAAGATTTAGGGGCCCTTATGTTATACACATGAATTATAAACACTTATATATATATATATATATATATATATATATATATATATATATTGTTAATGATAAACGCTTAGCTACAACATATACAAAAGCTTTGAAGAGATTTTGTACAAAATATTAAAAATAAGAAATAAAGAAGATGGTTAAGCTTTTACGGTACGTGTGCATGCATAATCATATGCGCTTTGAAGCATCAAACTCGCCCCTTCCGCCCTCGCGTCATCCTCAAGGGGCGACTCGAGTGGCCACCGACGCCCACAGCCCCACCCCCCCGCCCTCTTTCCCACCTCTGTCGTCGGAGCATGCCGTCGGCGGGCCGCGCGGCTGCTAGGAAGGCGGCGACAGGGTGACTTTTTGTTTCTTGTAAACTTGGAGCTCGTGACCAAGAGGCAGTGCTCGCCATGGCCGTGGAGGAGGCGCTGGTGGAGGCCGCTGAAAGCTCTAGTTTGGTTTGGTGAATTGATGAAACCCTAAGTGCTAACACATTGCTCTAAGTGATCATGAGATAGGGTAGCACATTCCAAGTGGTGGAGCAAATGGATGAAGATCATGATGGTGGTGATGGCCATGGTGATGATCAAGTGCTTGGGCTTGAAAAAAAAGAAAGAGAAAAATAAAAAGCTCAATGCAAGAGGTATAATTGATAGGAGCTTCTTAGTTTGGTGATCGAGACACTTAGTGACACTACTAGAAATATCCACTTCTATGACGATAAGCTTTCATCACTGAAGAAGCCAAACTCGTCATAACTTCAGTTTTATAATGAATTTATGACGAAAATCGGTTCGTCGTAGAAGTCGTGTCATACTTGAACTTTTATGACGATTTTCGCAAATCGTCATATAAGTGGCTTGATCTGTGATGAAAACAGAACGTCATAGAACTGTTTTGGCATGCGTGGCAGGGGGGCTGCCATGCTGGTGGGTGTTTTCATTGGAGATGGTTCGGGTACGTGTCACCTTCTTATGGCACAACATGGCCATCTCTGGTTCTTGCATGTTTCAGGTTCTTACTGGACCACGTGTCGGTTCCTTGTTGTTCCACATGTCAGTTTTCTATAGGCACACATGTCGTGTTGCAGTTGGATCACATGTCACTTCTTCATTGGACCTCGTGTCATATTTTTATTGGTCCACGTGTCTATTTCTTATTTGACCACGCGTCACGATGTTGTCCGTCCACGTATCGTATTTTTATACGTCCACGTGGCTTGACGATTTCCTTCCACGTGTCGGATTTTTAGTAGCCCACGTATCGTGTTGTGGCCAATTCACATGTCATGCACTAGTTGGTCCACGTGTCGCATTTTTATTTGATCACGTGGCATGTCCTGGTTCTACCGCGTGCAGGACTAATTACATCAGAAAAGTAATCGAGATCATCACTACTGCACAGATTGACAACATAATTATTCAAGCTGGCAGTCAAATACCAACAATTAATATTTCACACGTCAGCAGCAAGCCACTGATAGAGTTTCACCACAACAAGCCATCACATGAGTCCACACAATAGACCATAGATGTTCACCGCATCAAACTGTAGGAGTTGAAGACTGAGAGTTAATTACAAGAAGAGCTTAAGCGCATGACTTGCTCACAGAGCCTATTGTACTCCTCCTATCATTGTTTCTTGAATTCCTCAAACCCCCTTTCAGACTCTTCTGTCTTCCCTTCAGTTCATCCACTAGTTTGATGAGGGCAGTGGTACTTTCCTATTCACCAGCAAGCTGCTCTCAAAGTGTCATCTCCACCGATGTCTCTGCTCTGGTGGAGCTTCTAGGATACCAGCATTCTTCAAATAAAAGGGTTGTCCTGCTTGCCTAGGAGGGGGGCTTGCCCTAGTAGAGGTAGAGGACCTTGGAAAGAACATCAGCACTTGTCATTGGTTGCTACCCATCAACAACAGGTTCTACTTGCATAGCTTCCTGTGAAATTTAATCAATAAAACATTAGGTTACAGATAGTGAAAGAGGACTTCAATTGAAAACCCAAGAGATTAATTCATAACAAGTAATACATACGACTTTCTCAGCCTACTGTTGATAGAGATTACATAAGCACAATGCATAGGTCTTTTGTAGCCTACTGCCGATAGAGATTACATAAGCACAATGTACAGGTACCATATTGATTGGTGTAAAATTGCAACTATAAAATTAAATGATGTTGCCACATTAGGCTCCTGCTGCGTTTCCTTCTTTTATGGCAATGGGTTCAGTAGGTTTCAAGAAAAGCAAATGAGGGTACTTACAACTGCTGCTCTTGCAGCATCGCTCATGCCCTTTTTCATACTGGTATGGAAGTCC